ATATAGTCATAAAAAAAAAGATATAATCTAGAGAAATCTCTGAGTATAACAGAGAAGGTTGAAAGTCAATACTGGATGCCCATCACTGGAATGTCCTCAGGACCCACTGCATTATAAAACAGGTTTGATTCGATTCAAGATATCAGTGCATGTGCTGATGAACACATCCACAAATTAATGTCTGAAACACAGTTCACTGTGCTACCTTCAAATGTGGGTTTAAGGTCTACCATTCAATTAAATTCCGTTTATTTATGTAGCACTAAATCACAACAGAAGTCAGCTCAGGGCACTGAACAGAAACATTCACATACATTTAAAGTCAGTTAATCACATTATTTATCTAAGGAGCCAAAAGACAGCTTTGAGATTTCACTTCATCAAAGTCTCCCATCCTAAGCATGAAGGGAGCAACAGTGGAAAGGAAAAAACTCCCTTATGAGGAAGAAACCTCCAGCAGAACCAGGCTCAGGACAAGCGGCCATCTACTTTGACCAGTTGGGTTTGAGAGGAACAGGAAGGAGGAACAGATACACAATGGCAGGTCCAGGATGGAGGCCATCAGGTTTTCTCCAGGAGGAAAGCCAAAATGATAGAAATCACATGTTAAGAAAGAATAATTACAAATACAAACTATTAATTTGTATGTATTTGTAACTGTTCATTTGATGAAATGAGGTCAATTTGTTCTACAGTAGTCTTAAGGTTATAGCAGCATAGGATAAGGAATAGATCGGGAAACCAAGACGACAAGCTATAGGATTTAAGAAAAAGGAAAGTGTTAAGCTCAGTCTTCAAACCGGACAATGTGTCAGCCTCACGGACAGAAACTGAAGTTGGTTCCACAAGAGAGGAGCCTGATAACTGAAAGATCTTCCTCCCATTCTGCTTTGGAAACTCTAGGAGCCACAAGTAAAACTGCAGTCTAAGAGTGAAGTGTTCTGTTAGGAAAAGATGGAACAATAAGATCTGTAATATAATATGGAGCTAGGTTGTTGAGGACTTTGTAGGTTAGAAGTAAGATTTGAAATGCAACGAAGATGACATTTGTGAACACCATCCAGAAACACTGCCAATTTCTCTGAACCAAAGCTCGTTGGAAATAAACTGAGGCAAAGTGCAAAACATTTCTATTGTGGTTAAACCAATCCAAATGTAAAAATCGTTTTGCAACCACAGACAACATGTCCTCTATACTGAAAAAAGACCATCCAGCTTTTTACCAGCACACAAGTGTACTTATCTGATGGTATAGAAATGCATTATTATGTTAGCGCTTATAGAATAGGTCGCTTCTTCTTCTGGAAAGGCACCAATGATATACAAATGTAGTAAAATCTATAAAATATTATAGAACCATCCTGCAGCCAGGCGTGGAGGCACTGTGCTAAGAAGAATTAAGCCATAGTTTCAAGAAAAAGCTGCTTCCACGGTAATCTCTTTGAGTTTTAGTCAGTTCCCACTAGGGGCCGAATCGACTAGCCGACAAGTCGACTAATCGATTCTATGACCTCTCACGGATTTTTCTATTTCACATCGACTTGTTGCACCCACCTCCCCCCCCGTTGTTCCCAACCCTATTCCACCCAGTCCACGTGGTGGATTAAATAAAGTAAAACTAAAAACAGTAGCATTTTTGCAGCTTGATAATAGTTTTGCATTTCCTTTGACTTATTTGCAGTATGAAAAATAGTAGGAGCATAAATATATGCCCGATGTTTTGTTTTTCTTTTTTTTGTAAATAATAAATTTCTTTTTTTCTAATATTTTATTTTTTTTGCAAATATGATATAGCGTCTTGAGTTCCTATGACATCATCAACTAGTCAAAGTCAACTCGGACTTTTATCATGTTAAAGTCGACTTTTAAAAATATATAGTCGTTTAACCTCTAGTTCCCACAATGTATCCATTGTATTTTACCTTACGCTCAAAATGATGATGCTCAGGACTAAAGGCTTGAAACTTCTCTCCTTTGCACTCCAGCTCTGTGGATGTGGGGCTTCCTTCTGATCTGCTCTGGGCGTTGTGAGTCTCACACTTGGTGGCATTGATAATGCTGAGGAGAGAGAACACTAGAAGCTAGTGTTGCGTATGTAAACATGAGATCACTTTGTGGTCACAACTACATCAAAAATAATGAAAAAAATGAGAAGGGTCTTGAACAATGTATGAAAATAAATAATTTTCATTCTGACAAGAAATACAAAAAGAAAAAAATACAACGAAAGGAGAGGATAAAAGCTACAACTACACTAGAAAGATTAAAAAAAGGCAACAAAGGTCTGGAGAGCTGCTGTCAAAGGCTGCCAATCTTAAGGTGCCATCTTAGTGAAAAAGAGGTTTATAACAACATATGCTCTCAACCATAAAAAAAAAAAATCAGCAGCTGGAATCCTACGTCAGATAAGAAATGGACAACATTTCTCTGAAAACTTCAGCAGCTGGTGTCCTCAGCCCCTACACATTTACAAACCATTGTTAAAAAATGAGCGGGCACTTCACAGTGGAAAACGTGAACTTAGAGCAACTGTTTGAGATGTGTTTCTGCCATAAAGTTTAAATTTACAGTATGTTATATATATTTTTAAAACAACACATTTTCCTATTTTCAGCATTCCATCTGTTTTCTATGCTTCACAGTGAATAAAATATTGGTTTATAAGATTTTTTTTAACTTACTGCATTCTGTTTTTAAATTATATTTTACCTAATATCCCAATGTTTTTGGCTTTGAGGTTGTATTTACCAAGCCCCAAACGAGCACCATCGATGTTAAAAGGTTGAAGCTATATTAAGGGTTATTGTTGGATTCTACTGGGCAGTGATTTGTACTTTTGTGGAGCACTAATTTCAGTTTTATTCCTTTTCCAGTGCTTATCAGGTGGTGGTGGTGGAGGAGGATGGGTCCCGTAAGGTAAGGAGAAGGGAACTAGGCTCCGTGGACTGTTTCCCTTCTCCAAACTCACACAATGAGGCCCAGGTTAAAGGGTCCCCTCATTACTACACAGCTGAGCTAGCTCCTAGCAGTCTGCCTGAGGCCACGCCTTTCACCGTGGGCGACAATCACACCTACAACGGCTACTGGAACAGTCCTTTAGACCCTACTAAGAACTACCTCATCTACTTCCAAGCCACCAGCAACTTCAGAGGGGTAAGAACCATTAAACATCAATTCTGCAACACACAACTTTACAGTCATTTTTACAATCCAGACACTCAGTTAAGACCAAACAAACTTAAGTTGTGGTCCGAAACGGGAAGCAGGGGTCAAGCATGGGGAGGCAGAGGTCCTAGAACAAATCCAGAGGGGAATCCTTAATCCAAAATCAGTAGAGCAAAAAAAGGGTTCTAGTTACCAGGGTCAGAATCAACCTTCACATCAATGTGAAGAAGACAAAGGAGATGATTGTGGACTTCAGAAGGAACAAAAACATCTACACCCCCCTGAACATAAGAGGATCTGCGGTGGAAGTGGTCTCCAGCTACAAACACTTGGGTGTACACATGAATGACAACCTCAGCTGGAGCAACAACACCACCAGCCTGATGAAGAAAGCTCATCAGAGACTCTACTTCCTCAGACGGCTGAGGCGAGCTGGTCCGGGAAGCTCAGTCCTCACCTCCTTCAACAGGTGTGCAGTGGAGAGCATCCTGTGCTCGAGCATCAACGTGTGGCATGGAGGCTGCACAGCTGCAGAAAGAAAAGCTTTGCAGAGAGTGGTGAAGGCTGATTCCGACAGATTTCTGTGCAGCCTTCACCACTCTCTGC